ACAAATAATGGATAATCTCAAAGCTATATTTAGGTWTAAAGTTATATAATTATGTAAATACATATATATTTAATAAATATTGAGTGAAAATATTTATGAGTAGGTAAAACTAGGTRATATTGGGTAACACTCATTGATTTTGTGTGTTTCTTGTTCTCAATTTTTATTCTGTTATATTCATTAATTTTAGTATTATATAAATAATTTATTATTTAATTGCAAAATAATCGTCACTTTTATAAATATACATATGGAATAAAATAAGGTAGTAGTACATGAAATTAACGCAAGGAAAATCTTAAATCGATTATACCAAATGAAATTTAAGTTTCGACAGATACATTATCTTCTTATTGTTTTAAATGAAATTAAGGTTATAATGAAAAAACAATTGAATATTGATATAACAGATTTTCTGAGATTGAATTATTGAATATTATATGGAAGTCGAGAAGTATAAAACAAATATAAAATAATAATATTAGCTAGGTAATGAATACAATATAAAAATTAAATTGTAATGCGGTTAATATACTACGGTTTAATTTTTCCGTTAATGTGGTGTATTTTGTTACAAATGTTTTTTCAGCGAAAAATGAAAAAAAATCTAATATACAGAATACTATACAGAATGTGCTTATCAAAATCATGCAGTTAATAATAACAGTGTAGTAGGATATCAAGAAGACAAGAATGGATGTAGTACATATACTGCTTGTGAAATAAGAGTACGATTATTAAGAAAAATGTCACCAAGAGAAAATATAAGATGAACGATTATTATTAGTGATGATGAAGATGAGAATAATGACTTAAATATTGGTTATAAAAATGCAGATAATGAAAAAGTATTCTCCTTTTGTTCTAAAAAATGTGATGACTATGTAGTAAAACTTAATGGTTCAGTCTCTAAAATCAATCTTCAATAAAAAAAAAAAGAATAAAAACTGATAAAATGAATATTGAATTTAAGAAATTACGAAAGGATTATCGAGATAGGGTGTAAGACACCTATCGGCACTAGAAATTGTTTTATTCTATTTAAAATATGCAGACATGCATTTTAAAAGATTTTCTTGAACTTAAGTCCTTCAAGTTATGGTGTTGATTTTTCAGCAGTTTTAAGTAATATCTAGAACTACTTAGCAGTTAAAACAAAAAAATGAATTTTTAAAGTACCTAAGTAAAGCGTAATGTCGAATTTTCAATCCATAAGGAGGCTTAAAAGAGGATGACGTATAACCGCATGCGTTGTCTCCGTCTTACACACGTACGAGTGTACGACATACCAAATTTTCGTTCACCAGTTTCAATAGTATATAAGAACAAATTGTTCAATTATAAAATTTAAAGGTAAAATTATTATCCAATGTCCCAACATCAAGTAAGTAATGATCTTTTTTAAAMATGTAATCTTAAAATATCATTACTTACTTATAAAAGTAATACTAATAATACTATTTTTTACAAAAAAATTCAAGAATCGGAAAAAATGTAAGTACATTCAAAAATTCCTAAAAATCAGAATCTAATCAAAAATATTATTAAAGGAAAAAATGGGGGTAAGCATGCTTTGTAAGCTAACCTGTATAAAGTTATCCCAACACATAATCTACAATGATAGAATATAATGAACAAAAATGTGATATAGTTAAATTATAAACACTTTTATGTTACAATATATKTATCATGTTGCGATGTGCATAAATGAAATATAACAGTCAACAACAATAACTTAGCTTTTCCAACATCATATGATAATAATAATGTATAGTTAATCAATTATTATTTAATATTTACACATAATATCTAATAGTTTGTACATAAACATTAAACATAATGTTCTACAACTGCCTAGAAATAATATTACTAAATAATTAATCCAACAAATATTTACTAAATAACTGCACACATTCATAAATATAGCTTATACAAAGCTTATTATACAAAGCTTAAAATAATTATAGATTAATACATTCATAATTTGTTGAGGGTATATATTACCGTAACTCTATAGACTTATTTGGGTCTATAAAAYGCAAACCGAATATTAACGACGTTTTTGATAAAAAGGTATATGTTTTTTAAAATATTTAATCCAACAAACTAAAATATCAGTCAAATACCAAAGTAGAGATGACAGTTGAAATTAAAATAATTTAACAAAATAATAAAAAGTATAACACTTAACTTTTTAAAACACTAACATTTATATCAAACGATTAATAAAATATTAATTGAAAAAAAAAATTAAACATCAAAAGTTGTAAAAACTAAATATCATAATAGTATATGAATCTATTTTTTACATGTGTATATATACTTTAATTTTGATAACTGATGAGCATAAGGTAGATAATATTTATGTAAAATGCTGTAAATATTTTTAAATATGTTTTAAAAATCAACCAAATTATTACTTTTATAAGATTTGTGACGAATTATGTATAATAATTTAAGACGATCGAAAAACCAAAACAAGTATAGTGAAATTACTGAAATTATTATTGTATTATTCAAAATAATTTTTAACAATAAAATTTAAATGTGCCAGTGAAGTTTTGTGATTCTAGATTTTCTCAAACTTAATTTTGATTAAAGTTTTAAAATCTTATCAAGGTTCAAAACATTATTATTACGTAAAATAATAAAATAAATAATAACTAATTAAAAATGTATATAAATTTTGCGCAAAATTAACAATACAATTCTTTATAAATTAGCTGATTACATTCTTTTAAAATATGTCGAATGTAATATGTAACACTATTTACGTAATTCTAAATTTATTTTAGAAAATTTAGTTAGTGAATTTTAGAATAGATAATGTAAAATTAATTTTT